CTGAAGATGATGAATGAGACTTCATCGAAACGTTGCCTAGATACTTCAAATCTTACGCGGGAGAAAACCCGAACAACCAAAGATCCACATATAAATACCCGCGAGAACCTCAGAAAACAAATATATATGTATATGTATATGTATATGTATATATTTGCAACCCTAGGTTCTAAGTAAATTCTAAACAGGAGAGCCAATATCTAGATAAATGCAAATTAAGTACTCTTTTTGGAGAGATCAAGTGGCCCAGAGGCCAACAATGAAAGAGAATGAATTGAGAATTGGAAGTCTCCTGTTTGACCATGAAGCTGGACTAGAAGACCTTCAAGGTCCCTTCCAACTCTACTACTCAGTGACGTTGAAATTAAGAAAATCAGACCTGGTAGGTGGAGATGTACAAATTCAGTATTCCTATGCAAGGAAAGACTAAAGTGCCAAGTCCTACTAACCATCCCTCCATCTACTGCCTCTAGTGATTGGATGTGTAGCTACTTGTCTCTAATAACCTGTATCTCTTCCAAGAGCTTACAGTAATTTTGATCCTCTCCACCATCTTATCCCCTACATCTATCTACTTCCTCTAGCAATGAATAGGTTTATAGGTATTTGTCAATAATGATAAGGTTGGGTAGGATAGGACAGGACAGAATAAAGGTAGGCAACCCGCAGCTCTGGAGTCGCATGTGGCTCTTTCATCGCTCTACTGTGGCTCCCTGTTGCTGATCCATACCACAATTTTGAGAGGAACTTCCGGTTAGGGAGGGAGCAGCACACCAGGACGAGACTCTACAGCAAGAGGTGGGTTTTCTGGTCGGCTCCACAATTGATAGGGCTTTCAGTTAGGACAGGTAGAGGAAAGAGGATGCAGTGCTAGGAAGAGACTCTATAGTGGGGGAACCAGATTTCCAGTCGGCAGAGGAAAAAGGAGACCACAGTAGGATGACTTTCTATGGAGGGAGAACTGGACTTCCGGTTGGCTCCAGAATTGAATATGGGGCTTCCGGTTAGAACCTTTGTGTTTAAGATTACCAACTTCTGGGACAGGATACTGGGAATGGGAATAGGAATGGGAGTAGAGTAGAATAGAGTAGAACAGAACAGAACTCTCTCTGGTGCATAAGCTCACAGTACATATAAATAGCAATGAATAGGTCATAGATCACAAATTAAACTTACAATCATAAGTTACAAACAACTGGTAAATTGTAAGATGCCAATAGGAGAAGATAATTGGAAAGATGAGAAAAATGAAAAAAGACAGTGCTGTGGAAAATGAAGCATGATGGCCTGGGGGAGGAAGGAGAAAACTATCTGGTTGTTTTGGTATGCAAAGCCCTACAAGCAGCATTCTGAGGGGTGAAGATGAAATTGATTATGTCCAGGTTGCGAGGCCCCTATAGGTACTTTCTCAGCTCTCTTTCTGGTTCATGCAGCATACAGATCCTCAATGGAAGGCAGGCTGGTTGCGACGTTTTTCTTCAATCCTAACTATCCGTTGAAGTCTGTACCTGTCCTGTTTGGTTGCCATGCCAAACCAGACAATTCATGAGGGACGAACGACAGACTCACTTAGTTGTAACTCTTCCAAGAACTTTCAGTTGATCTCATCCACCATCTTAAATCTTATAAAATGAAATGGAAAGATATATCCATCCATCTAATTTCTTAACCGCCCATCTCCCTGATAGAGGGATACGGGGCGATAATTCCTCGTTTTCCTTCCTTCAGCCATACCAGTTCATTTCAGCCCACGATCCACTTCCATGACATTTCCTTGTGTGAAAAAAGACAAATTCCTTTTGTGTCCAATCGCACTTGGCCAATAAAGAGGATTTCTGTACAAGGATCATAACCTCAGAACTGGGGCCTCTGAAGATCTTTTCACAGTCCGCGCACTCATATAGTTTCTCCTGTGTGGATCTTTCTGTGGGAAGTTACAGAACAACTCTTTCTAAAGCTCTTTCCACATTCCACACAGTGGTACGGTTTCTCCCCCGTGTGGATCCTTTTATGAGAACTAAGGGAACTGCTTACGGCAAAGCTCTTTCCACAGTCCGTACATTTGTATGGCTTTTCCCCCGTGTGGGTCCGTTTATGGTATGTAAGGGAACTACTGATGCTAAAACTCTTCCCGCACTCCAGACATTGGTATGGCTTCTGTCCAGTGTGTATCCTTTTATGGGAAGTGAGGTAACTTGCATCACTGAAGCTCTTTCCGCACTCCAGGCACTGATACGGTTTCTCACCTGTGTGGACCCTCTGATGGGAAATAAGCCGGCTTTTGCGACAGAAGCGCTTCCCGCACTCCGTACATTGATAGGGTTTCTCCCCTCTGTGGCTTCTCCTGTGGGAACTCAGGTAACGGCTCTGACTGAAGCTCTTCCCACACTCCACGCATTGATAGGGTTTCTCTCCTCGGTGGATCCTTTCATGAGTCATAAGCTGACTTTTCTGATGGAAGCTCTTCCCGCAATCCATGCATTGATATGGATTCCCGCAGACCTG